TTTGGCATACTAGCAGTGTCACTGAGTGGACAAATGCATCACATGACCTCTTTACCAAAATGCTCTGGCATTTCAAATCCTCATATTTCATCAAGTTTATCCTGAATGGATATTTTAGACTAAATGTAAGAAGGAAACTGTCTCTTCTCCACTCCAATTGCCACATTTTCTGCCAGTATTTGACATGTTGCACATTTTTTCCTTTAAAATGATTAATGTGTTGTGTTTCCATTCTACAAAGCAGCTGAGGCATGTGATTGGATGACGTTGCAAAGAATCGAATAACAGTTTAACGCCACATCATTTCACACTTCACACATTTGGCACCAAAATGCAGAGTTATAACTGCAAACCCAATGCTAACGCTACACTTGAATGGGCTATTTGCACAGCTAGTGTTTTTCAGCCAATGATAAACTTCTTATGAAGGCTTAATGTGACTATTTTAAAATTCATAAGGTTCCTTTTACAGCATTGATGTTGTAATGTAGACAACGCAGCGGCGCAGTAGGTAGTGCTGTCGCCTCACAGCAAGAAGGTCGCTGGTTCAAGCCTCGGCTGGGTCAGTTGGCGTTTCTGTGTGGAGTTTGCATGTTCACGTGGGTTTAATCCGAGTGCTCTGGTTTCCCCCAAAGTCCAAAAACATGCGCTACAGGTAAATTGGGTAGGCTAAATTGTCCTTAGTGTATGATTGTGTGTGGATGTTTCCCGGAGATGGGTTGCGGCTGGAAGGGCATCCACTGCGGAAAAGTTGGTGAAGAATGTTTGAAGAATTTCATAACCATTGACTTCCATAGTAGGAAAAACAAATACTATAGAAGTCAGCGGTTGCTGGTTTCCAACATTTTTCAGAATACTTTCTTTTTGTTCAATAAAAGAAAGAAACTTTGACAGGTTTGTAACAAGTGAAGGTTAATAAAAATGATGGCAGCATTTTCAGATTAGCTTGAAGCATCAAGTTGGCCTATTGTGCAAAAATCACTTACTGTAAATAAGGGGTTTGAACACAGTTTTGTGGCAACCATGTATAAATATAGACAGCATCTAATGGTAAAAATTATTAAATAAACTTTAATAATCACACTTCATAAAAACTGTAAAAACACTTTGTTTGACATTCTCCCTTTGTGCATGTCATTCAGGCCCGTAGCCAGGGGGTTTGGGTGGTTCGAAAGACCAACTCCCCTACTGACAAAGTCCAGGTTTTGGCTGCTTTACAAGCTCAGTTGCCCCATTTTTGACAGTATGCCATCATAAATTGTAAAAATAACCAATAGAAGGCAACTTTAAGAAAAATGCTCACTGAGGAAATGTGCTGGCCAGTTTGTTATTTGTATTTAGGCTACAGTTTTTAATTTAAAACAGTTTCCTAATTGTTTTTCTTTTTTTTTTAATGATGGATGAAAATACATTTATATTTTAAAACAAGCATATTTTTATATTTCTTTGTTCAACATAATAATTTTTAAAATTAAGCTGTAATAACCTACAGTTTTAATGCTAATTTCTAAATAAACACTTTGAGGTAAAATAGTATGGTAAGCGCTGTACAAATGTAGGGTATGCTTTTGTTGCATCAAAAAGTCTGGTTATTATAATTACCATCTGACAAGCTGGCCCAACAAAAAATTGTTTTTAAAATGTCACTAAAATGCAGCATTTGAACCTTATAGTTTAATAACTTCACAAAAGTAAATTTTTTGAGAAAAAAAATAGATGCTGACTAAGGGTCTGTCGATAGATGAGAAGTCCTGCACATTAGTGATGATTTCTCTCCCATTAGCATAGACAGCCCTGAGTGAGAAGCAGCCATCTGTTATTAGAGATTTTAGTCTGCCACTATGCTGACACACAGGTGTTCATAGCTCTACCCTCTTTTGAAAATAGCACAGTCTCCTTCAAATTTAAAGCAACAGTGATCAAAACAATTTATATTCAGTTTAAAAAGCTAATAAAACATTATTTGTTGGCTATTTTGGGCAGAAACTTCACATACACACTCTATGGACATTAGAGACTTACTTACATCTTTTAAAAAGGGGCATAAATCCCCTTTAAGCAGGATTTTGTTAAGCCTGCTTCTCAATTACAAATATGAAACACTGCTTTACCTGGAGCTACAAGTGGCATTTAGAACAACAACAAACCAGGGAAGTAAATAAATGCTTTAAAAAGTAGTAAATATATTACTACACAAGCCCAGATATTCCCACAAAATAAGGCTTTTACTGTTGATAACCCTGGTTCATTCTCATCTAAACCCATAGGTAAACAATATGCTGGGTTATCTTTCTTCAGGGTTCAGATTTAGCCAAGTTAACAATTAATCCTGGGCGTTCTTAAATTGCTGTTTTACACTTTACAAACCTAATCTTGGGTTAAAGTTAACATTTGAGGTGTCTGTGCCATTGAAGTGTCATTGTGCACACGGCTTGTGTATATTAAAAGGATATTTGACCCCAAAATTAAAATTTACTCACTATTTGCTCACTGTTGAGTGGTTCAAAACTTTAATAAGTTTCTATCTTCTGTTGAACACAAAGGAGCATATTTTAAAGAATGTTGAAAAACGGTGGCATATTACAAAAAAGTCAGTTTGTCAATTGCTACCAGTTTTTAACATTCATTAATTCATTCATTTTCTTGTCGGCTTAGTCCCTTTATGGAATTAACCGGCAACTTATCCAGCAAATTTTTACGCAGCGGATGCCCTTCCAGCCGCAACCCATCTCTGGGAAACATCCACACACACATTCGCACACACACTCATGCACTAAGGACAATTTAGCCTACCCAATTCACCTGTACCACATGTCTTTGGACTGTGGGGGAAACCGGAGCATCCAGAGGAAACCCATGCGAACGCAGGGAGAACATGCAAACTCCACACAGAAACGACCAACTGAGCCAAGGCTCGAACCAGCGACCTTCTTGCTGTGAGGTAACAACACTACCTACTGCACCACTGCTTTGCCGCAGTTTTTTAACATTGTTAAAAATATCTTCAGAAGAAGAAAGAATGAGAAGAGAAAGAATGAGAAGCTAAATGATGACAGAATTAGGGGAGCAAGGGGCAGAAAGTAATGCATGGTAAAATGTAACAGAGTCTTAAGGTATTTGCTTAGGGTTTACTATGGCATATTTCCGAGATTTTCACAACAGTGTCAGCAGGCATCTATCTATCTAGCAATTATTGAAAATGTTCGGTGACATATGGATGAGAAACACAAGCTAAACCATTTTTCCAGCATAAAAATTCTTATTTTTTATATACTCCATATTTGTTTATTTTTTAAAAATCTGTGAAAGTATGTACGTAAAATCTTATATTGTTGTGATTACCGTCTTCTAGGGTAAAGATGGAACCATTTTGAAAGAAGTAAAAAACACACAGTGACTACGAGCCAGTTTTGAGGAAAACACGACACAGTTACAAATAAGCCAGACACTGTTGGACAACAATTAAACTCAAAATAATTGTTGAATTTGAGTGTAAAAACTTTTTAAATAAAATATTTTTTAATAATAAAAACTATTAAATTGTATTGCTAAAAATGCAAAATATTTAACTGTATAATGGATAATATTGCAAATAAATCCAAATGTGTTTATCCAATAGATAGATAAATAAACATGCTGTGCTATCTGGAATAACAAAATGAGTTAAGAACTGAGGAAATATACTATTTAAAGTAAACTAAATTTAAATTAATTATTGTATGTGTGATCTGACTTTTTAAGTGTGTTCCAACTAACCCTCTGTCTGTTACAACTTGCCCCACAGGTGGGGTAAATAGTAACATTTTTACTCCTGGCACTTTTGGCAATACTGCACAGAGACCTTCATACTTTCAATGCTCATTTGTAATAGATGCTTGTGTGTTGTTGTTGGAAAAAAAAGGTTTGTCTAACCCAGAGATGCCCAAATTAGAGCCCGCTGGCCAAAGTTGGCCCATTGTAACCTTTGATTTGGCCCACCATTCCATTTGAGAGGAGAATGAGTCTGATGGAGAGGGTTGGGACGAACACCTTAAACACAGCGATTGTCATTTCGAATTTGACGAAACCATTTTTGTTCGTTTTATTCCTGAGCACCAAAAAAAAGTTAAACTAAACTTTTCAATTAAATGTTGTAAATGAATCTGATTTTAAACAGTCACTCGACGAATAGAGGACCACAGTATGCAGAAGGCATCAGCAAACAAATCAAGGCAAAAAAAAACTAGTGTAATTCTGTTATAAATTAGATTGTTTTGATTTTATTCTAATATATTAATTATTAAACGTAAAATAAATCCCACATCAGTTTATATAAAGTTCGGTTTTTGGTCCTTTATAAAAATAGTTTGGGCACCCATGGTCTATAACCCCATTGCTTTGTTCATTATTTGGCCACAACCAAAAAGTGTTACTTTGTGCCCCGTTCTCCCCTACACATTTTTGGTGAACTATCAATTTAAATGCAAAGAAAAAATATTTAATTTACACTGTGTTGGTTTTGAAAACCATAATATGTTTTCCAGAACAAGCTGCTCTGCTGGTTATTCTGACATTTCATTCTGATAGGCTTGAAAAATCCCCGAATCCCCTTTAAAGACAGGCTGATAGGCCGACTAAAACCAGCAAACCAGTTTAGGCTGGTTTGAGTTTTTTTTTTCATCAGGGAAGCTCACATGAACACTGTTTTAACAAACTCCAGTCATGTTCATATTGTTATACATCCGAAAAGAGTGACTTTTATAATAATTTTGTTCGCCACAACGACACATGAATCTAGAAATAGGTTCTTTTTAGAAAGTACGTCAATTTTTACCGGTGTTTTTTTTATCGTCTCCCTCTTCCTCTCTGTCTATGTACCGGCCGGCAAACCATGCAGACACACCTCCTAAACTCTCAAAAAAAAAGCCAACCCGACGTTTCCCGAACAGCCAATCAGCTGCAGCGCAGTGATGGCCGCGTGCCTAAATAGAATGTTTATGTACCGCGAGAGCCAATCGGAATCAATGAGGAGCGGGCCGAGCGAATCTCGCCTGGCTGCACGCGCAGGATAGAGTGGGCGTGGCGTCGGGCGAGAGAGAAAAGCAAAACAATCATTTTTATCCCCTTTACCGGCTGCTTTTAGGGTCCGTAGTGAAATACGCTCTCAGCAGGGAGTCGTAGTCCACACAACACTGTTAAATGCATCTTATCCCGCTTTGCACTAAAATCTACCGACAGCTGGTGATTTTGCTTTAGTTGTATTTCATCCAGGTCGAAAATGACTTCCAAGCGCCTTCTCGAGCCGCAGCGAGCCGGCGACTGCACGCCCGAGGGGGGCTGCACCGGCCAGCGAGAGCCTGTCACTGGAAAAGCGTTCAAAACAAACACGCAGCTGCACGAAGGCGCTATAAGGAATCTTAGCAAGGAAATCTCTCAAAACGGACATTATCATACCTCAACGAGGCACTACATTCATAAGAAAGTAAGTGAGCCATGCTCATTTGAAGTTTGCATTTCTTATTTTGACAGTTCTCTGCATGTATACGCCAAATCAGATCGGAAGTGCTTGTGAAGTACTTGTCAGCTCAGCTTTTCGGGCAAAAACACAAGTTTGCATGGAGAAATTTCTTGCAAGTGTTGCAGGGTAAGAAGTTTTGCAGTATGTGTTAGTGTAGTGAGGCGTTAACCCTTTTGCAAGTAGTTTAAGATGGCGACTTAACTCGCATGTTCAAAGTTTAAACGAAAAAAACGGGGCTGGTACGTTTAAGCAACCCACCCCTCCCCCATAGTGTGTCTAACGAGAGCTGAAGCCGGTGTGTGTGCAACTGTGCATGCATGAATGTGTGTGTGTGTGTGTGTTTGTGTGTTTGTGTGTGGAAGGGTTTGTTTGTACAGGAGCACCGCTTGTTTTTCCTCTCAGCGGCACATGAGGACTTTCTAGGATATTTTTCTAAACGAAAAGAGTGTCATCCCATACTGAACCCAAGTGAAAGTTGCATTATGATGTTCAAAGTTATGTTATGCTCGGTTTATGGGTGAATAACAACAGCTGCTTCCAAAGTGTAAGCGAACCGTTCAGTTGAATGTGGCTCGGCTTGGTGAATGTAGGAGTGCGCGGTCGCGACACGCCCCCTTCATGATGACGCGGCACTGATGAGCGAGCATGCACTTGACCGATATGAGTGAGTGTTTGCATGTATGTATGTATGTGTGTGTGTTTGTGTCCGGGCGATGCATTGCAGATCTGCCTGAAAAGCATGCACAGTTGCATTGGTGTGGGACTTACTTGCATTTCATTTTAAATACTTTGTAAGGAAGTATGTTGACATAATTAGGATTTCTAATAGGATTTTATATCAAAGGTGCCCAAACTCGGATCTGGAGGGCTGGTGCATGTCCTGCAAAGTTAAGTTCCAAATCCAAACCCAATTAGACACACCAGCGCTAGCTACTAAAAAAAAAGGATTTCTTTTTCATAACTCCTAATGTCGCTAGTTAACACACACTCAATGCATTTTTTTCAACACATCCCATAATTTCTAATATAGCAATCTCTACCAAATGGTCGATATGTCGTTTATGGTAAAAAAATAACATTACCTGAATTAATACATATACTATGAAAAATCTCAAAATATAAAGTGTAAAACTAATTTATAAAAAGAAACTATTCAAAATAAAACATTTGAATACTAAATCATCTTTATTTTTTGATGTATGCCATAAAATGTTTCATATTCTCATTTAACATGCTTTCTTTTTATTGTATTTTACAATAAATCCAAAATCAAGTGTAGTAGTGCAACAGGATTATGTTTGTTTGATTTGTTTTTGTAAACCAACAATGCTGTGTAATGTAAACCACTATTTAATGCAGTCAACTTATGTAAAACCTAACCAGGTATGAGGGCTGCGAATTATTTTTATGCTATATGCCCTATAACAATCTCGAGTGAATTGTCACTGTTAGGTAAACAAGCAAATAAAAATTCAAATATTGATTGCGTTAGATATGAAACAAGCAGTATAAATAGCTTTACACTTTTCCTTTTTTTTACACAACAAAAAACAAAACTCGTCACCCATATACCTGTATACATTTAGGTTCTATAAAAATACATGAGTAATATTAAGATAAATCACAAATACATATTAATGTTAAGTAAAACATACTTTACTCTTATATATAAAAGGAAAGAAAAGAAAAGGAAAAAAAAAAAACTTCTTCTAAAATAACTGAGGGGTCCATCTTCTTTATGTGATATAAAACAGGTTGCCAGGTGAGAAAAAAAAATAAAAATCAGTACAACCTCTTATAATATCCATTTGCTAAGTGTGAGGTCACATGAAGCGGCTTCCGGGTCCAAGCGCTCTATCAAACTGTATGGGGAGACTCATCAGATGGTAATAATAAACATTTACAAAGCAATGTAATACTTTTGAAAATCACAATCGCAATATATAGCCACGCTTAATATCAGATGGCCAGAAAGTGATTCGGTTTTTTTTTTATAAATTGTTAAATTTTGGTATTTGTAATGCAGCAATTCCAGAGATTTATCTGTACACTATGATTTTATATAAAATTCACTTTAATGTGTGACTAAAAATGAATATTTTCAAATGAGTAGCCGCTTGGACCTGGAAACAGTATTCCATACGTCACGACTTAACAAGCGGATATCATATTTTTTCTAAGGTCAGGTGGTGTTTGAGTTCCATAAGTCTTTGCTTAAAGTTTGTAAGAAATTTTCCTTCCATTTGAGCAGTATTAACCTTCTAGCTAAAAGCATAGCAAAGGCAATCATATTTATCTTACTTTTATTAAAGCGTAAGGGCTGTGGTGTGATACCACATATTAAAATTGTGGCCTCATGTTCAATATAGGTATTTATGGGCCAGAGAGAAATTTAAATATCAGCTGCCAGAAATTCCTTTATTTTGAACAAGCCCAAAACATATGAGATCAATGTTACATCTGTCACATTTAGGCCCTATATTCAGTTTAAATTTGCCTAGTTTTACTTTGGACCAATGTAGTCTGTGTACTACTTTAAATTGTGTTACTCTATGTTTTAAACAAATTGAAGATGAGTGAATATTATCTAAAACGGTTTGCCACATGTCTTCTGATAATTCTATCTCTAGTTCCACATCCTATTTTCTTTTTAATTGCATTAGGGGTTCCAGATTATAGGAATTAATTAAAGCCTACATTTTTTTGTTTAATTGAGGTTTGTGCATCATCTGAAAGCCCAATAAATAAGCTCTTCATTAATGTATGTTTTATAAGGACTGAAACTGGAATCTGAGGATACAATTTTGAGAAATTAACCTTTAAAGTTGACCAAATTAAGTATATTTTAAAACAAGATGAAATAAAAGTTTAAGCAATGCACATTAATAATAAAAATGCACCTTTTTACATTTACATTGGGAAATTAAAAAAAGTATTGATAGAAGACGACTGTTATGTAATCTTTGAATGGTTTTTGGAATCAAATAAAAATCTACAATTTTGAGTCTTGCTGTGTTTTTTGGCTATTCCAACAAATCCACTTGGTGCAGCCTCATAATACCAAACACCCAATGTCACAAATGAACATTTAACTGTCAGAATTTTAGATCTCAAAAAGTATTTAAAGGCAGTGTTCAAACTTCTTATTAAGTTTAATTTAAAAAAATCACAATTCATTTTGTAATTTCAAGGATGTAATGGCTCTGTTTATCAATAAAAGCAACAGTTATTGAAGAAGGATTTCATACTCACCGTATATTTTCTAGCTTATGTTTCTAGATCAGAGGCAATTGTTTGAATTTGGGTTGCACGATTTTGGAAAAATCTGACATTGCAATTTTTTTACAGTTTCATAAGATATTTTTTAATAGCTCTATTTGACAGTTTTATGGGAAGTCTAACAGTATTCAGGTACAGAAATTAAATAACCGCTATACAAAAATAATTTTTTTTTTACTTTGCTTTGTCTCGTTTTCTAGTCAAAATATCTACAATTTTTAGAGCAAGTAAAATATTATTTTGTTTTCAACGTCAGAAGAAATAAGCAAAAACTAAAAAACTAGCAAAATTATCTGCCAATTTGGTAAGTAAAATAATGTTGTTTTAACTTTCAAATATTATAGATATTTGGACTAGAACACGACAAAAATTCTGCATACACTTTGTTTTGCATAAATTGTATGAATTAGACATAAATAATTAAAAAAAAGAATCTTGGTTACTCCTCCAAACATTATAATTTTTTTTTTGTGCCCAAATGTTTAATCTTCTTTGAAATGCTCAGTCACAGGCCTTAAAAACCCCTGCAAATGTCAAACTTTCACTCTATTATGGTTAAGCTTAGCAGTGCCTTTACAAACCACATGTATCCTAGTCAGCTATGAATCAGACTCAACATTGCATATCTTGCGATGTGACTATTGTGATGTGCACTTTGCGATATCGATGCTGAAATGATATATTGTGCAGCCCTAGTTTGAATGTTTATTAATATTAGAATTTTGTTATTTTAATTATACAGTATTATATTGTATAATAAAATAATCATTATTTATTTTTGTCCCTCTGAAATCTGTTGTTTTTATCAAAACATTTGGGAAAAATCTTTTTTTTTCCCCCATTTTAATTTATTTCTGGCTCTATTTCAATGGTTTAACACATTGTAGTCTATTTAAAAGGAAATAATCACAATTAAATTAATTGTTCAACATTTTTTTCTTTAACAAAGTTTAGCAAACATTTATTTAAAATGCCAGTTCTCCTTTTCCAAGAAAACAAACAAAGCATTATTGATGACTCAATGATCCAAATGTTTGTTCAATATAACACCCATGAAAGAGAATATCCCCAAAAACACCTGTTACCAAATAGCGAAAGCACATGATGATTCACATTTGACTTTTAAAATAAGGAACAAGACCTTCAACTTGTCCGTGTTTCAAGAGGTCAACACAGAAAAACAACTGTATTTGTCAAGCAATTTCTTAAAGTCTTAAATGAACGCTCCACTTATGTTTATGTTTGGAAAAGGCTCATTTTACAAGTCAGCTTGTCTGGATATAATAGGATAATTATTAAAACACAAACATTTTTGAGTGAGAGGCTATTCAATGATTCAATGATTTATGCAAAGGTAATAGTGCTTCCGCCAGGCACAGAGATTGGCTAAATGGAATCAAACATGGTAAAACTCAACTCTTTTACTTTAGGGAAATTGTAAAATGAGCCTATTAAAAAAAGTGGTGTTTCTTTAAACGTCATAAAACATGATCTTATTAATCAGGTGAAACTAATATTAAAACCGAACCAATCTCTTTGAACACGTGCTAACCGGCGAAGCAGATTGACATCTCTCGTTTTATGGCTTCAGTTTGCATGTGGCAGAGAGGAGGAGGAGCCGAGTTCAGGTGGACTCCTTAAACATGGCTGCCCTGCTCATCGCCTGGTCCTCAACGGCTTCAGAGTACAAGACCAAACCCAAGTAGAGGCTCGAAGCCCAGTGAGAGGCCCTGGAGAGCCAGCCTGTCGTCTGCCATCTCCTGAGATGCCTCATCCAAACACGTCCTCTATCATCCCCGTACCACACGACAGGTCAGTCCTGATGGACTCATTTCATCACTGCAGCGAGATTTGAAGATGATTCAGTTTGGGTGGAATGGAAGTTGTTATATATATATATATATATATATATATATATATATATATATATATATATATTTGTACAAGAGTTTTGTCTGGTTCTCAAATCTGATTGGCTGATAGCCTATTTATATTCTCAAAAATCAGCATTCATACAGCCTCTTCTTCCTTGTGTATTACTCCGCCACTCATAAAGCGACAAGCAGAGGACACTTTACAGTTTGACAAATTTTGCTGTTGTTGATCAACATAATGTACTTTTGAGGCTTTTTTTGGTGAGGATGTAGTTGTTTAGATTACAACTATGCAGTTTATTTATAAGAATAGTATCGTTTTTTAAAATAAATATAATTTTGGAGTTTCAGCACGTTGGCGGCCATCCGCAGAGCAAAGAATTTGACGGTTGACATTCTGCCACAAGATGGCAGAAGAGACCGCATACTAAGTCCTTAGGGAGAAAAACTCAAACTTAATTTCAAACTACAGCTGATCAAATCAACCTGTTGTTCACTGCTGTCATCTCTTTAGACATTATGCAGGAGAATCATTCAAGTAGCTCTAAAGTGATTTTGGTCAAGTAGCAACTGTTTCTGCTGTTCTGACGTCAGCTGCAGATGAGAATGATGGAAGAAAGTAGTTTCTTGTACAAAAAGATTTCTGAGACTCTTTGTGTTTGATTTTATATATATAAACATGATTATGCTGTCAAACTGTAACTATAAACACAATATCACAGTTGTAGCTGTGCGATATGGCTGTATATCTTCACTGGCAGGAGACTAAGGCACTCAGTATATTGGTACTAAGACTTCATATTAGTGCCGAAATACATTCAATTTTATATTAGGGAAATATATTTTTTTATAAAAATTAGAAGAACATTTTTTTAATTTTAAATTTATTTGGCAATATTTCACATGTATTTAAATACAGTCTTTCTATTTCTAAAGCTGTTTGATGACTAAAATATTTTTAATAAATAGACCTGTTTAATAAGTCTTAATAAATTTGTTCAAATGTTCACATCAAGATCAAGGTAATTAATTTTTTTCTCCCGTAGGAGAAATTTGTTTTTAGAATAAAGGTTCTGCTGTACATAGACACCAACAAGACAACATGTAACATATATACAAATGAAAAATCTAATCCTGAAATACCTCTTAATATAAATAAGATTCCATAAAATCAATAATTAAATTTTTTTTATATAAAAATAAAATACAAGGTGCCCCCACTGCCTTCTGTTATGCCAACCAATCCAGTTATCTTAATCTTTGACCGTCCCACTCTACTTGCTCATTGATCAATTTAATTGAAAAGGGAACAAAAGAATGTTTTGATCGATTATACTTGAATAACGGGTCGTGTATCTTCTGCCAGAATTCATCAGCTCATAATTCAAAGACAGCACATGCGGGGAATCAGATAAAATCTAGTTGAACAGCCCAATTCTGCACAACCCAAGCGAACCAAGTGTCTTGATTCCCATAATTTTATTACGTTATTTACTTGCACAACAAACAATAATTCCATATCTTAAAATAGACTCTATTGTTGCTTTATAAGATGTTAGCATTTTGCTGCTACTCTGAATAATTGTTGTTTACGTAAAAAGTGTAAGCGCTGATGAATTCTTACACAAAGACTTGACATCTGAGAGGGCCAATTAAGCTCACAATCAATATTCACCCTTAAATATTTATATGAAGCAACCTGCAACATAGAAGTATAAACATTAGTTTAACTTTATTTTATATAGCGCCTTTTAAAGAGCCATCTCAAAAAGCTTTACATATTAAAAGTGAAGTATAAAAAAATGCAAACAAGAATACATGCATAAAAGACAATTATAATAAAAATCAAAGAAATATTTAAAAATCACATTTTTGTAGCACTTCTCTTTTAACACCGTTTAAAAAAAGAGTTTAACAAATGTATGTGACTCTGCATCATAAAACCAGCCACAAGGATCAATTTCAGAATACTCTGAAAAAATTATATATATATATATATATATATATATATATATATATATATATATATATATATATATATATATATATATATATATATATATATATATATATATTAGGGTTGGGCATCTAAGCTATAATGCCGATCCGATACGCATCTCGATACAAAGAATACGATCCGATATATTAGCGATACATTTATGACATATTGCGATGCAACATGATACGATTCACACCCATATCACGATACAATGCGATAATTCAGCACTAACTAATTAAATCAAGTTTATGAGATTATGTAAAAGAGGATGCTGTGCCATTGAATGAGTTTGATTATTTATTAACCAAGCAAAACCAAGACTTTTTTTACAAACTGGCTTTTCTCTCAGAGCCAGAGTGTCAGTTTACAGTAGAGGGCCATTTTAGAACATATAGCACATATTATTTAAGTATTTTCAAGATAAACAGAATGTATAAGTGCAATATATATTAAAATATATATATTTGCACTCTTTCAACATAAAGGTTGAGCATTGCACAACAAGAATTGTGATTTAACTTTTCAACTATGAAAACAAGTTTTACAAAGATATATTTTGCCACTGATTATTCAAAACTTAAGGTCGTGAACTAGCAGTGTTATGCTGCTTTAAAACATCACTGTCACTGTAAACAACAGGCTAATAAAAATATAACAAACCAGCAATCTTCTTGCTGTGAGGTGGTCAAACTACCCACTGTGCCACCGTGACACCCATTATTTTTAACATTATTATTATTAATATTATTATTATTATAATTAAATAAAAATTAACAGGAGGAGGTGTTTAAAACCGCCTGGTGCGGCAGTATAGAGAGGGCGGCGTCCGCAACACCCAGTTATATCCGCGCATAGGGCTGAAGAATAGAGGTCCGCGACACCCAAGTGAGATTTCAGATTACTCGTACTGCCCACGTATTTTATAGATACGCGGCACATTTTGCAAATTGCATCTGACCTGTCAAGTCGTCCATCCTTAAATCCATAATGTTGCCATACTTTAGATTTAAAACTCAGTGGGGAATAAATAAATAAAAGTGGGGTTTTGCTTCTCGCGCTTTCTGAGGGCGCACCACTAGCTTCATCCGCACACCTGATACACTGAGTTGTAGTGTAAGTGTACACATCCGCAAATCCGTTGCTAAGGCTTACTTTATGTAGGTCGATTAAATTATGCGGCAAAAACAGGTTGACAACACTTGTTAATAAATAAAAAATACATTCTATATTAAAAATATAAGCTGTATCTCGGAAAAACCGATGCATCTCGCAAAAACCGATGCATCTCGATTTGCTTCCAAAATTTAATTCATCCTCTGCTGCTCAACCGATGCACTCGCATCGTGCACGCGCATGACCGCGTATCGATACATATCGATTAATCTTCCCATCCCTAATATATATATATATATATATATATATATATATATATATATATATATATATATATATATATATATATATTGCATATATATTGCATATATATTGCATATATATATGCATATTTTGTTAGGATTGGAAAATATTGGGCCGAGATATGAGTATTTGAAACTCTGGAATCTGTAAAAAATGTAACTTTGAAAATTTTAAATATATATAAAAAATCAAAGTGACTAAAATGTTATATTTAATTCTCATAATTAAATATCAAATGAAGGTAATAACTAGAAAATTACTGAAACACCTTTTTAGCAAAATGCTAATGGTCTAATCTGAATCTATGATTTGTGCTAAGCTAAGCTAAAAGTGCTACTGCCAAACTTGGAGATGGTAAAACTCAACTCTTTTACTCTAGGGAAGTTTTAAAATGAGCCTATTTCCAAAACACGTGGAGTGTTCCTTTAAACATCATTTCAAGAGTTCACACTTAGATATTGCTTGATGCTATTAGCAGGTTTGGCATGCTGTCCTGGGACAGAACCCTGAGCTCGGAGAGTATTGATCCCAGGGCTCCCGCCTGGTCAATAAGCTTGCAAGCGGGTCCGAGATCAGATAGGTCTTGAGAGAAAAAGTTGGAGATGGGGTCCAAAATGAAGATAAGGCAGTAGGGTAAATCGGTCTATTTATTGTAGGCTTGGATCTGTCTTATTGGATTATTGCTGATTACTGATGAGAGACCAGCCACTATCGATCATATCACATGCTCCTCTTTAAAGTAGTTTGTAAAACTTCATAAAACACAATCTTATTAATAAAGCAAAACAAATATTAATACGTGATTGGAACCAAACTGCATAATTGTTTTGATCTCTTTCTACACTTGCTAACTGGCGGAGCAGAATGGCATCTCTTGTTTTATGGCTTTTTTGGGGAGATATTTACAAAAAAAAAGTTGACTTTTTGAGAAAAAAATAGCAACACCCCTTTCACCAGACTGGCTACATGCCTGTATACACTTTATAAAGAATGAGTGGGTGTGTCCAAACTTCTGAATGGTTTTGCAGTTTGTTATTCACATGCTTCAGAGAAAGTATAGCTGTGTTCAATTCAAGCATACTTAAGATAAACATGAAAGACATGCCTAACATAAGTCATCATAGATCTTGCTTGTACTACTATTGATATGATTGTTGTTTTATACACTTCTTGGCTCAGCATGGAATGAAATGTTGCCTGATCGGACAAGTTTTTATCTGTTTGGTGGTTAAACTGTTATCCTGTTTGCCTGAGAATCTATATTAGCATTTAGTCGCTTACAAGCCTCAATGGTGATCTGCATTAACATAAATTCTTAAATCATTCTTGAGACCGAATTTTACGCTTCTGTGGCTTTTTCACTTCTAACGTGAATTTTAGCATACCAGAGACTGATAGTAATGTGATGGCGCAGGATGGTTGGTGTGGAGGAGACAGACGGGCTGCTTGGTCAGCGCTCAGTCAGTGTTTATGCAACCTTCGTTCGTTTTCTGCCATGTTTATAAGGAATGTCTGATGAAATG